CAATATGGACTACAATTTCAACATTAGGAAAACAAAACTCTTCACCTCTGGGTAAATAAGCAGCATAATGATAGATGGAGAAAAGATCATACCCTTGGCACCAGCAGTCAGAAAATCAAAAGACAAGTTGCATTTAGAAAAATCTGCTATCAAGGACCTCTCTAGAGTGCTAAAGAATAATATCAGTCTAAAGAAAAGAAGAAGAAGAAAATAAATATGGAAAATTTTTCTATAAAATAATGAAAACAGAATCATAATACTTAAAAATTATTAAGCAGTTGATGTGTCTATTCCCAGTGCTATTCTGAATGTTGTTTATTTGTTTATTATATATTTTATATACAAAATTTGAACTTGAGTCTATCTCACCTGAATTTAAAACCATTTCAAGAACAGGTTTGAGACCTTGAGCACTAATGTATGAAGACCAGATGAGATGTGGAAGGATATCAAGGCTATCATCCTTGAAGAATGCAAAAGGGCATTACAAAGACAGAGGAGGAAGAAGAGACCAGGATGATGTAAAAAGACTCTGAATATTGCCAAAGCAAAGAGAAGAAAGCAAGAAGTCAAGGAGATGAACAGAAGATTTCAAAGGGCAGCTCAGGAAGACAAGGCAAACTATTATAATTAAATATGCTGGAGTCAGAAAATCAAAAGTGACAGACTTGCTCAGCATTCCTTAAGCTGAATGAATGTAAGAATGAATTCAAGCCTCAAGTTGCAATACTTGAGGATACTGTGGGCAGAATATTGAATAATCCAGGAAAAATCAGAAGAAGATGGAAGGAGTACACAGAGTCACTGTATGAAAAAGAATTGACTGCCACAGAAGAATATCCTAAAACAACTAATGTTCAGAAGACAATGATGAAGGAGGAAGTTCAAGCTAATCTTAAGGAACTGGCAAAAAACAAGGCCCCAGGAATGGATGGGATATCAATTGACATATTTCAACAAAGAGATACTTCCCTGGATGTGCTCACTAGGTTGTGTCAAGAAATCTGGAGGACAACTGCCTGGCCAAAAGACTGAAATAGGTCATTATTTTTTCCTTTTCCAAAAATGATAATCTAACACAACGTGGAAATTACCAAACAATATCATTAATATAAACCACAAGCAAAATCCTACTGCAGGTTATCAAATTGGAACAGTATATCAACAGAGAACCACCAGAAATGCAAGCTGGTTTTGAAGAGGTCATTGCACTAGGAACATTATCACCAATGTCAGATGAATCTTGGCAGAAAGCAAAGAATAACAGAGTCTAAAGGAGTTTCATTGACTATGCAAAAGCATTTGACTGTATGGATCATAACAAATTGTGAATAACCCTGAGAAGAATGGGGATCTCAGAACATGTGATTGTGCTCACATGAAACCTACACTAGTACCAGGAAGCATTGGTTAGAACAGAGCAGGGAAACCTTGTATGATTTAAAATCAGAAAAAGGAGTGTGTCAGGAATGTGTTCTATCTCCATATCTTTTCAATGCGCATCAGGAAAAGATCATTTGGGAGGCTAGACTCTATGAAGATAGGTGTGGCATCAAGATTTGAGGAAGATTCATCTACTCTCTGAGTTAAGCAGATGACACAAAATTGATTGCCCAAACTGAGGAGTTCCTTAAGCATTTGCTGCAGATGGTTAGGCACTGTAGTCTTCAATATAGATTGATGCTCAACATTAAAAACAAAAAACCAAACAAACCAAACCACACACAAAGATATTATGCATCAGAGAGCTGGACAATGACTGATAATAGAAAAATTGATGCCTTTGAGTTGTGGTGCTGGAGAGGAGTATTGAACATACCATGGACTGTCTATAGAACAAGAAGATTTGTCCTGGAAAGAGTGAAATCAATTTGCTCCTTAAAGGCAATTATTTTGAAGTTCTGTAGCACATACTTTGAGCATGTGTCCCAGGGTCCAGTCTTTAGAGAGGGATAACATGCTTTGAAGAGCAGAGAGACAGCACAGGAGAGGAAGACCTTGAATGAAATGGATTGACACAGTAACTGGGGTAATGAGGCCAGATGTGCTGGAGTCAGTGATAACGGCTCAGGATAGAGCAGGGTTGAGAGCGATTGTGCTAGGGTCACTATAAGTCACACATGACTCAACAACACATAACAACAACAATATGCATTTGATGACTTAAACATTACAACTTCCTTATAAAATTGGCATGTACTATCTCCATTTTAAAAATTAGAAAACTGTGGCAGAAACATCAGTTTCTTTTTTCTATTAATTTTCCCTAGAAAACATTTTCAATCTAAATAATCCATAGATCTTAATCAACAATTGTTAAAACTTTCTTGGACACTCATTACTATTTTAAGTACCATCCCTAACTCAAGAGTCATCAGTCGATTCTAACTGCAAATCTTAACAGAAAACTGCTCATCTTTCTTTCCTGGAGCCAGTGGTAGATTCAAACTACCAGAAATATGCGACCAAATACACTAGGAACTAAGCCAACAAAGCTGTTTGTTGGTTTTTGGGTTTTGTTGGGTTTTCTTTTAAATACAGCAGAGTTGTGACTCATATATTTTTGACAGCAATTGCTTAAGTCAGAATCCATGCTCAGGCACACTGCTTCTAGGGTTCAACTCTTCTATCCAAATAACTAAAAAGTGATGCTTTTGACATCTATTCGGGTAGATAGGGTATTTTCTGAGAAATCACTGGCATTGTTGCTTTTCTAATCAAAGTTTTCTATTTTTTACATAAAAATCACAAGTTTTAATAGGCTAATAAACCTGTGTTTTTTGGAACTTCTCTGACCCTCCTCATCTAGAAATAAATAAGAAATTAAACTTTCTTGTACCTGAAAGTATTTGTGAGCAAAATATCTTTATCACAGACCAAAATTTACTCTCTTTTTGACAATTTTCTGTTATGATTTTGCGTGTTATGATGAATCCACATTTTATTATTTTAATTATTAATAATTTATTTAGTGTTTAGTGTAAGTTGCTATGTTAAAGCATAATGCATTTATTTACTTATATTATTTACTTATATTTACTTACATTATTTAGTTATACTCTCCTTTTCAGATAAGAAAACTGAGACAGACAGGGTTAGATTACGATGCAAGTCACACAACCAGGAAATGGCAGCCTTATTACCGTAGAGTCATTAGATTCCAAATTTATAAATATTTACTTGAGGAAATGGCGAGTCTTTCTCCTGTGGAGTGACTGATGGATTTGAACTAACAACCTTTAAGTCAGAAGGCTATGTTTTACACCAGGGCTTAATTAACGATAAAGCTCACCTTTTTTATTCAAAAAGCCATGTTCTGAAGCACTGAAACTCAGTCTGTGTAACTATGTTCTAAATGTGTGGGTACCAGATCAGAAAGAGAGTCAAATCACATTTAAGTCAAGTGGCTCTTGTGGATTATATATGAGTATGAAGTGAGGATAAATTAATGAGTTATCTGTAGAAAACTATCTTTTTACCAACTTAATTGATGATTTTCCCAGTTAGAACCATTCTCTTTGGTTTTATTTATAGTATCCAAAGAAAGAATTTATAATGTGACTAAGGTGGCAATTATTTAACCGTATATTCCTCAAGACTGTAGCCAAATACATATGCTTAGAAATGTCTGGCCTTTTAATAGAGAACAGAACTCTGAAGGAATAAATGCCGAGTCTGAATTATGGACAAGGGATTTTGTTAGTGACTGAGAAATAATTGGACCTGGGGTGTGTGTGTGTGTGTGTGTGTGTGTGTGTGTGTGTGTTGTGTTGGCCTTGAGAAGCTAAGAGATTTCAGAGTATTATATATTAGACTCCAAAAAAAGTATTACAGATGGAAAAGGAAACAGCCAAAATGGGTGTAAGATATTTTGTTAGTGACTGAGAAATAATTGGTCTGTCCGTGTGTGTGTGTGTGTGTGTGTGTGTGTGTGTGTGTGTTGTGTTGGCCTTGAGAAGCTAAGAGATTTCAGAGTATTATATATTAGACTCCAAAAAAAGTATTACAGATGGAAAAGGAAACAGCCAAAATGGGTGTAAGATATTATCCAAGAAAAATAAGACCACTCAAAATCAACCTCAAGTTACTCATTTATTAATTAGACTAAATTTGCACTAGGGTTTGTCCCCATTTTGGAAATGAGTAAAACAGTGACATAGTGATAAATTCCTACTATAAAATCATGGCTCAAGAAATTTTGTGAAATCATTCGCCCAGCCATTTAGCCTCTGCACAATCCATAGGATTGCTTCAGAAAGCAACCATTTGTGACTAAGATTTAGGTCATCCCTAAAGAAAAAATCTACACCCAGAACAGGTAATCACATCTACTCACTATCAAGAAAGCCATTATGTGTCTAAATCCTTCAACATCTCCGTAATCTCTAGTCTATCCTCAAGAAAGACGAAATAGAGTCCTGTCACTGTCCAACTAAAGACCTAAATATTACTGGAACTATCATTCAATCACCCCATAAGCCTTGTTTCTGACTTTATGCCTTTAGTTTCTTTAAACTTTCTTGATCTGTCTGGTGTTCTTTTTAAACTGTGCATCTACAGTATAGTAAAAAGCAAAGTATAATTTGTGAGGCTCATGATGTATGTGCCATACAGAAAATTACAATTCTCATTTAGCATTGTTTATCAAGGAAGAAGTAACATTGTGCTCACTTTAGGAGATGTACTGCAAATATCCAGGAATTCCCTTGGACAAATTAGCAGTCCTTGCAAATCTATAGAACAATTTCTTCCTTCATGTATCTGGGTTTTAGCATTGAAGAATATTAAAAGAAAATACTGTTCTGAAAAAGAGCTCTTCCAGAGATGAATCAGGTGTCATTTTAAAATGTATACTATGTTAGGAATATTACTCTTGAATTATGATTCCTATATCTGTTCCCACATACAGCAATTATTAATGAAGCATAATTGCAATATTCTTTTTAATCAATGTTTACAGTGTGAAAATTGTCTAACCTTTTTATATTGTTTTATCACAGGAATGTAACCTGGAATAGTTTAGCTATCCCAGATACACACTGCTCACCAGAATTAGAGGAAGGTTATCAGTGCCCACCAGGATTTAAATGCATGGACCTTGAAGATCTGGGACTTAAGAGGCAAGAGCTGGGCTACAGTGGCTTTAATGAGATAGGTCTGTTCTACTGGTAAAATATATTTTCACTTTTTATTATAAAAATGTTTATGACATAGGGAGAATATATTAATATTAAATATAGTGTTTAAGGAAAACAAATGTAAATTTTGATTTTATGTCTATATTATAGTCTAAGTAATATATGAACTATGCCAGTGTATGTTCAGAAACATGCATATAGAATTATTTCTGATTTTATCTTAATAATTAACTAAAGAATTAAATATATAGTACACAAGGTTTAGGAGTTGTTATCGTTAGGTGCCATGAAGGTGAGCTATTTATCTTTTTATAAATAGCCCAACCCTGGTATACAAGGTAAGTCTTAAATTGTATGCCGTGATGTGTTCATGAGAATCGAAAAGCGTGCCTGGAACAGAAGACAGCTAATGAAATACTTACTAAACATACATTACTCTGTGTAAGAGCTGTATGGGAATCACTTGAGTTTTAATGCGATGTGCTAAAATGCATACATTTCTTCTTGGTTTGCATTACTGAGTCCTGAAATGTTTCATTACAAGTAAGAACAAACAAACAGCATTTGCTGTTTCATCCATGTGACTTATTTTTTTTAACTGCAATTCTAAACAGATTGCACATACTTGATTATTAAAGCACAAACTCAGGGGAGCTCTGGTGGCCTAGTGGCAAGAAGCTGCACTGCAATCCCAGAGGCACAGGGTTCAATTCCACCAAATGCTCTGCTGGGGAAGGAGGGACAATCTCCTCCTGTACCAGTCAGATCTGATTTGATGGCACACACACACACACACACACACACACACACACACACACACCCTGAGAGAGAGAGAGAGAGAATGAAATAAAAAAAAATTTAAAAAGCAGAAACTCATTGCATTATTTTTAAGAAGTCATTTTCGGCTCTGATAGCAATTATTAGGATTGTTTAAAAAAGGAAAAAAGCTTGATTTCTCCTGCAAATTTCAAGGTCAGTTATGTTTAAGAGAGTTCCAGATACCTTTTACTTGGACTGAGGGGAATTATCTTCCCGTGAGTAACAGGAGGGCAGTTGTGCTTTTTTGGAAGCCAAGTGTATTTCCTGATTTTTGATGTGGCTTCACATCTCAATGAACAATGGAGGCTTTCATAGCCAGAGGACTGACATCAGCCTTTGTCCCTGGGATGCTACGTACTGTGAATCTTTGCAATTCGAGAAAGAATAGCTGATGAATCCTTATTCCCACCCTAGCTGAGTTGGCGACTCCAGGATGGTGGTGTGAAAAATGGTCTAGTAGATTATAGACAAATTACTGGAGTGACTCAGAGTATATGAAAGTCTCAAATGATTGGGAAATATTCTCCTGATAGATGAACTATATCAAATTTAGTATCCATAACCTGGGTGCTCAATAGAATATTACAATTTATTAAAAAATTAAAATGATTACTGTTTTTGAATTTATAAATGCTATCTCTACTTTTTCCTTCTTGTATTTTAATATATTCTTGTGCTATAAAGAAAGTGACTTTTTAGCATTGCAATTATCTAGTACTCTTCTTCTTCATAGGGAAGCTAGAAGCCTTAAGGTGCACATTTCAATGTGCTGTGGTATTGTCAGGTGGCTGTAAGTCCGTTTTGACTCATAGAAACTCTATGTGAAAGAGAACAAAACAATCTCTGGTCCTCTGTCACCCTCATAGTTGTTGCTGTTATGGCCCATTATTGCAGCTCCTGTGTCACTTCATCTTAAGAGAAAGATTGATGATATTCTTCTCTGATCTTCCACTTTACCAAGCAAAATGTTCACCCTGATAACTTAACCAAAGTACGTAAGACAAATCTTCATCATTCTTGCTTTGAATGGGCTTTTTAACACTACATCTTCTAAAACATGTTTATGTAGGTCGAAGGCATATTCAATATTCTTTACCAAAACCATAATTACAAGGAGACAATTCTTTTTCATCAGTGTTCTATATTCTTTGTTGAGTGTCAGCATGCACATGAATTACCATGATTTAAGTCAAGTATACCCTATTCCTCAAAGTGACATCATTGCACTTTAACACTTCTAATCTCTCTATTAAAACAGATTTTCCCAATGAAATATATTGCTTGAGTCCTTGACTGCTTCATCTATAAATGTTGATTGTGGTTCCAAATAAAATCCAATCCTCAACAACTTCATTTTTTCCCTACATTCTCCACTTATCATGATATTGCTTTTCTCTTTCTTTGTGAGGATTTTTGTTTTCTGTTTTTTGTTAAATATATCTGCCTTTGAAGTCAATCTAGCATACATACCCCATCTCAAAAGCACAAAGACCTATTATGGGTTGTACCAATATCTTTCAAGGGTCAATAGGAAATCAGAGATGTGGCATGAAATGTGAGATCTTGATTCCATAGACCATGGAGAACAAGCCCAAGAATCCTAAGAACTGTGATCCGAGTAGGACACGTGACTTGTCACAGTGCACGTATCTTTCTTTTAGGGCCTGTATGTACCCATTTCTCCAATGCAGAATGACTAGCATGTAGAGATTGACCTCACAAACCTATCAATCCTTTGGATTGTTTTGACAAAGCAAATCACAACTTCAACAATTAAATAAGGCAATTGCATGTAAATTCACTAACTGCATTAGATCCAGATGGTATAATCTCTCTTTATTGTGATTTATACTGACTTCAAATGAGTTAGGTTTTAATAGCCCATTCACAGAAAAGTAAGTTGAGAGGACTATGTCTAGGAGGAAATGGTCCTGAGGGCGTTGGGACCCCACCAGACCCTAACATCTTATTTGTAGCAGTACTGTTTATTTATACATTTCTCTTCCAATGATTTAGGCTCTTTGAAAACAGGAAGGTTGTCTTTTCATTTTCAAGTCCCCAGGGCCTAGCCTAGCCCCTGGATGCCAGGATGCCAGCCCTCTGTCAATATTTACTAATGTACTGAAGAAACTTTGTTTCTTTTATGTGCTTTCGTATGCATAACCTAATCGAACTGGTGTTGGGAAGTAGAGCTGCATCAAAAATTAAGTTGCATTCTTGTTATTTTTTCCCTCTTTTGTCTGTTTTCGTTGGCACTTATGCACTCTTTCTCTTGATTTTCCTATCTCTACAAATGTAATATGTTCTTCTGACTTCTTTATCTCATGATGCTTGACTTCAGTGTTGCATGAGTCATGGTTAGAAAATGAAATGTTGACTTTGTACCAGAGTCAAAAACCTTTAAAATGATCACTATCATTTATACTGAAATTGATAGCTACTGCCTGCTGTTCTGTGTCTGTGGAGATACACAAACTGTAGGTTTTACGGAAGATTGATTTTCTTAAAGACCTTGTGAGAAAAAGAGGTAATCTTTTCTTTAAAATTTGAAAAGAAGTGATTTTATTATATGTATGTGGTCATCTCCTTCAGCATGCAGTTGAATTGAACACATAATTAGATGCCTAATTATGCACACAAATTTAGCCTGTATACTTGTATATGTAAGTAATAATGATTCATTAAAAAGGAGTACATTTCTTTTTCTTACTATTCAAATTACCATGCAGTACACTGCCTTTCAAATAACTTATGAGATTTATTTTAAGTCATTTTATGGCTCATTAATTTTTTTAGTAATTTAATTTCTTTTTGTTGCTGTTGTTGCAAATACAGTCAACCTTCTGTATTTGAAATTCTGTGTCTATAGAATCAGCCACCTGAGAATCAAAAGCATCTAGGAAAATAGAATCACTCAAAGGCTAGGAATCTAGATTAAGTGCCACCGACATACCATTCAGGAGTGCTGGTGGCCCTGTGGCAGGAAGCTGTGCTACAATTCCAAAGACACCTGTTCAAATCCACCAGTGGCTCCATGGAGGGATGAATAGTCTCCTTCCCTGTGTTTTACTGTCTCTGAAAACCTGTTGGAGGGGCAGCTATGGGTAGTTTCTGATTTGACAGGACACAACAACATATCATTAGCATTCTGTTAGTTGACTTAGTGTACTTTTTGTTGGACTGTTAAAAAACATAGAAATCATTAGATTCCACAAGGCATTCTAGTGAAGAAAGCGGAGGCAGTCACATCCAGTAACAATTTATAGCCTTAGAAACTCTAGTGAGCGTCGTCATTAGCTGAAATGAATTCGGTGGCAGTAGGGTAGATGTGGCTTAAAGTATAAAGATATATGTAGGTTATATGCAAATGCTATGGCATTTTATATAAAAGATTTGAACATCCCAACATCTTAATATCTCCAAGGTTTCAGGGTGGTGATGACCTAGAACTAATTACCCTCAGACACGGAGGGATGGGAGTATTTATTGTGAAAATACAGCATTTCAATAATTTCTGCATCTGTAATTCAATGACATTGATGGCATTCGTTAATTACTTAATTGTTCCTCTGCTATTTTCATAAAATCACTGCTACATATGTCTCTTATCTAATCTTTCAAGTTTCTCTTGTCAATCTGATCCTATATTAATAGAGCTTTAAAAAGCACAATTCCCAAGGCAGAGGCAGTCTGTAGTAGTTAACTTCAGCTATTATTTTGTCTCAGCTGGTATTTTGGTTTTAGGTTTAAAGATTATTTCACAATAGTTTCAGAGGTTTACCTGGAGTTTATGACTCTAGGAATCCTAGGGTTCATAATAATTTCAAATTTTGTTCTTTATTTTGCCCCCTTCTGATTAGGATTATTCTACAGAACATACCGATCAAAATGTTCAATGATGATAGCCAGGTACCATCCACCTTATGGTTAAAAGTCATTGTTTATGAATGCAATTAGCCACCTGTTCTATTTCTGCCTGTTTTCTTGACTCTCTTTCCTCCTTTGGTGTGACACATTAGAAATTAATATTATTGACACTTGGAAGCTCAGTTTTAAAAGAATATTAAAGACAAATATTGTATAAAACCATTATTGTAGAGTAAGTATGAGGATCAAAGGACGGGAAGGTGGAAGCAGAGGATGAGGATGTGTGGGGGAGGGGAGAGAATTAATCATGGGGTTGCATAATTTGATGGGT